GAAAGCCATAGCAGCAGCACACGCCTCACTCTCCAAGGCACAGCAGCGCATGATTCACTATGCAGACCAGCACCGACGTGACATCCGCTTTCACGTTGGAGACAGAGTACTTGTCTCAACTACAAACCTGCCCCTACTCGCTCAAGGCCTCATCCGTAAGCTCGCACCTCGCTTCATTGGTCCCTTCACAATCACACAGGTCCTCTCTCCACTCACATACCGTCAGGAACTTCCTCCTCACATCAACATCCATGCAGTCTTCCATGTTCAGCTACTACGCCCATATCATGATCCTCCAGCTCGCTTCCTCCCTACTTCTCAGCCACCTCGCCCTTCCATGTTCACTCCAAGCCCTGATTTGTTCGAAGTTGAGAAGATCCTTGCTCACGAAACAACACCTAGTGGCAGATATTTCCTGGTTAAGCGGCGTGAGCATGATGGTGCAGAAAATCTCTGGATTCCAGAGAAGGACCTACAGCATGCACAACGAGTTATCTCTGCCTACTTTGCATCTGCTGGTGCACCGAGGATGGTGCCCCTTGGAGGGGGGAGTAATGTTACAGGGCGAAGGCGAACTCGCCACTGAAAAGTTCGCAAGTTGGCGAACTTGTAACTTTTGCCAGAATCCCAACCTGAAATGTCAAATTCGAGGTTGGAAGTTCCAACCTGAAATGTGCGCTTCGGGATTTCCCAAAGTACACGTGAATTCCCAACCAGCAAAGCAGCAAAGAAGAGAGAACAGAGCATCTTCACGACAGCAAGGCATCAAGTTGCGCCATGCAACTACAACTACGTTCCAGCGTTACAAGACTCAGGTGCAATCACCATGAAGATGAAGAATGAGTCAGCAAGTATCATTTTAAAACTATCTCATAATTGTACTTTGCATATTTCTATATGAACAGCTAGGATCCAGCATAGCATTGTGATCATTGCTTGTACATATTTTGTTCCTAGTTGGTGACAGCAAAGATAAGTTTTAAGATACTAAGCATGAGTAGGCTTAGGAGCCATAGGTTTAGTAGCTTAGTGATCGAGTTCGAGGGTAAGGAGAAGTGTCGAGAAAGTTGAGAGGGGAGGGTTGTTCACTGTAGCACAAGAGTACATATAGCAAACAGAGCATGCAAGGTGCACCACCAACTAGAAAGTTATATGACTACAGTATTCTACACTACAGGCAGTTATAGAACAATATATAGAATTATATATAAGTCTGACACGCCCCCATAAGTGCCTGTAGGGAAGAATGTGCAGTCAACGCCCCCTGAAGGGGTACACCAAGCGCAGGAGAAGGAGAGGGGAAGTGAGGAGGAGGAGGGACTGTGACAGGAGAGGAGATGGGAGGCGACGGTGGAAGCGACAGACACACGGCGCAACTGGAGCAACTGGCACACGGGCAACTGGAGCAACAGGCATACTGGCAACTGGAGCAACTGGCACACATGCAACTGGAGTAACTGGCTCCGCGGCTAGACGAGCGGCAGGTTCAACTGACCCACGGGCTACTGGAGCAACGGGCTCACTGGCGACTGGAGCTACGGGCTCACGGGCGACTGGCGCAACGGTCTCACGGGCGACTTGAGCTGCTGGCTTCACGGCGGCCACCTCCACTCAACCTCCCCCACCTGTCCCACACTCATCACCCCCACACCCGCCACCCCCATACCCATCACCCCCACACCCACCACCCCCATACCCACCCCCCCACGGCTGCACCGGGTCCAGGAGCGGCTTCTGCAGTGGCGGCTGCTCCAGGGGCGGCTGCTCCAGGGGCGGCTGCTCCAGGGGCCAGGGGCGGTTCCTGCAGTGGCGGCTGCTCCAGTGGCCAGGGGCGGCTGCTGCAAGGGCGGCTGCTCCAGGGGCCAGGGGCGGCTGCAGGTGCGGCTGCTCCAGGGGCCAGGGGCGGCTGCTGCAGTGGGGGCTGCTCCAGAGGCCAGGGGCGGCTGCTGCAGGGGCGGCTGCTCCAGGGGCGGCTGCTGCAGCGGCGGCTGCTCCAGGGGCGGCTGCTGCAGTGGCAGCTGCTCCAGAGGCCAGGGGCGGCTGCTGCAGGGGCGGCTGCTCCAGGGGCGGCTGCTGCAGCGGCGGCTGCTCCAGGGGCGGCTGCTGCAGTGGCAGCTGCTCCAGAGGCCAGGGGCGGCTGCTGCAGGGGCGGCTGCTGCAGGGGCGGCTGCTGCAGGGGCGGCTGCTGCAGTGGCGGCTGCTCCAGGGGCGGCTGGAGTTGCAAGGCAGGCCCGCGCACTGTTACAAGGCAGGCGCGGGCATAGGGGAGGCAGAGGCGGCGGCCAGGGGGGGGGGGGGGGGCGACGAGCAGGTGACGGGGCCACTAGGGGCGGCAACGGAGCCGAGAAGGGGCGGCGACAGGGCCGCGAAGGGGCCGCGAGGGGCCGAGAAGGGCGGCGACGGGGCCGCTAGGAATGGCGACAGGGCCGATAGGGGCGGCGACAGGGCCGCGAAGTGTGGCAACGGGGCCGCTAAGGGTGGCGCGAGGGGCCGTGAGAGGAGCAGCGACGGGGCCGCGAAGAGGCCGTGAGGGGCCGAGAAGGGCGGCGACGGGGCAGGAAGACGCCGCTCGCCCGGGGCGCACGGCGGGCGGAAAACCGCCACGCGCCCCGAGCGCGTGGCGGGAAGAAAAAGGTGTCGTGCGCCACGGGGGGCACGACAGACAGGGAAGCAGCGGAAGCACGTGGGGCCCACAGGCCAAGAGCGTAGTCGCTCTGATACCATGTTAAGATACTAAGCATGAGTAGGCTTAGGAGCCATAGGTTTAGTAGCTTAGTGATCGAGTTCGAGGGTAAGGAGAAGTGTCGAGAAAGTTGAGAGGGGAGGGGTGTTCACTATAGCACAAGAGTACATATAGCAAACAGGGCATGCAAGGTGCACCACCAACTAGAAAGTTATATGATTACAGTATTCTACACTACAGGCAGTTATAGAACAATATATAGGATTATATATTAGTTTGACAATAAGAGATATGGTAGCCTGAACGAGCCTCTCAAGGCACCATAGTCATAGAAGTGTGTATAAGAGTAGTCTTTCATCCCTTGTATGGTGTTCTTGCTTTCTGAAATTTACAGAGTTTATGCTACCAATTTTACCTTTTCATTTTAGACTCTCCAAGTTCTAGCTTTCCGAAACTCTAACAGCCTAGAGCTGTTCCACACACCAAACACTTCAAGCTCTCTCCTGTTCTTTCATCGAATAATCCCGCCTACTTCTGATAATTAGCCATGGCGTACTCGAGAATGTTCGCGCTGGCCTGTGCGCTGCCCCTGGTGGCGCTCGTCCTGGCGTCGCTCTGCCTCAACGCCTCCGCCAAGCTCGTCGTCCCCAAGGCTGCCGCGTCCGCACTTGCCGCTGCCATGTCCGGTGATCTGGCTCAGCTCGACGCCACAAATGCTCTCAGCGACGACGCTGTGACGAGGAGGATTCTCGACGACGACAATGATGACAAGGACAAGGACAAGAAGAAGGACAAGAAGAAGGAGGGCAATAAGGAGGAGAAAGTTGAAGAATCTCCTCCCACTCCCTCGCCTTCCACTCCCACCACTCCCATTAAGAAGGGCGGCAAGAAGACTCCCCCCACTCCCACAACCCCCGCCACTCCCGGCAAGCCCGCCACTCCGGGCAAGCCCAGCACACCCGGCGCGGGGAAGCCGGCGGTGAAGCTGAGCGGGTCGGACTCGAAGGTGGTATCGCTGCTGGATGCGGCGGCGGTGGACGTGGACAGCGCCAAGGCGAAGCTCTCCGTCAAGACGTACGTCAAGAGCCTCACGGACACGGCGGCGGCGCTGCGCAACGCCGCCATTCTGATTCGCACTAGGCAGCGCACGCTGGTGGTGGGGCGGATCGACAACTCGATCGCCACCATCAATGGTGTGAGCATCATGCTCCCCGCCAGCGGCGCCGACAAGAGCCTGCTCACGTCCGCCCTTAGCAAGGCGCAGAGCGCCAAGGCTGCGTGGAAGGCGTAACACGCACCAGCCCAGATGGCGTTGCGGGATCTTCGAATAACCGCATAGGCAGGTTTGCTGGATTATGTGAATGGCCACATCCATACAGGCGCGAAACTAGCCGTTAGGTTCCTGGCTGATTGTCATAGCAGTTAGTGCCAGTAGCGACCAATAACTTGTGTCACTTGCTGATAATAATTGTCGCTACTAGGAATAATGTTGCCATTTATGAAAATGTTTGGAACTGTTCAGTTGTGAAAGTACAATGCAATGTTCAGCTGTTTACAATAATGGCTAGTTCTGTGCATTTCGTAAATTGCACATGATCGTTTTTTTTCGTAAATTTAACGTCCATCCATGCACTCGTCAAATTTGAGTGAGTCCCAAGCGATACTCAAAACAGTCTCTGTCCATATATTTCGGAGCGCTGACATGGTTCAAGAAAGAGCCATGATACAGTAACTGTTAGAGAGTTACCAAATAACGCATGAGATTGGCGCGACGACGAATTGCCTATTTTTACTTGTTGCGGCTTGTCGAATTAGTTGCGACTGACCTTTTGCGAAACGCTTGCGTTACTGTTCACCGTTCATGACGCAATATGGACTGCTAGACGAATTCAATATGTACGTTCGGACATGTTCTGCGCGTCTCGGCTAACGTTTTTTAATTGCGTCGCCGGATGAACTGTTTCCAGTCAACTGCTTTGTAAAACGTAAAAAGTTCTGCTACACGCCTAAATCTGGTAACTGTGCTGAAAATATATCGGATATGAACAAAGTTGGACCCGCCCTAATAGCCATTTGGATGTATGGAACTGTTCAGTTGTGTGCATGTCTCATTGACTTGGGATGAAAAATCGTCTCACTTTACACATCCACTCCACCGTAGGTGCGCTAAATGGAACACAGTGTGTGGTGGCACTCTTAGTCGTTTCCATTTCAGGTTCACTAGACATGAACAACCATCTGGTTCAGTTCAGACGCATCTTCAGGCTGCTATGTGCACCAGTGTCCAAACATTTGCCTACCTCAGATCTGCACGTCCCTAGCGTGATAAAAGCATGTCTAGCATCCTCGTCCCTCCACACGCCACTATCTCCTCTGCTCCCCGCCTGCTCACCTCACCCACCCGCTTCAGTGCCCGCCTCACCTCCCCCTCATTCGCTGCTCCCTCCTCTCCCATCCCCCCACCACCTCCCACCATGTCCTCACCACCACCACCACCAGCACCGAGCAGCACGGCTACCAGCAGCGGCACGGCTCCTACCAGCACCAGCTGCTCCTCTACCGGCGCACACAGCCCCACCGGTCCCCTCGCACTCATCTCCTCCTCTCCTCGCGGCACCAGTGCTGCCACAGCCGCAGCCACGCTCACATTGGTGAAGGGATTTGGCAGCTGCTCCCTGAGCAGGTCAACGAGAGGGAGCAGCGCGCCCGTGAGGAGGATTGAGCGGCGCACGACGGGGGAGAGGGAGAGGAGGCGGAGTGTGGTGGCGGAGAGCAGGCGCAGGTCGAGAGGGAAGGCGGGCGAGAGCAGGGCGACGAGCGGGGGAAGGCCGCCCTCTAAGGCGATCAGTGAGCGATAGTCCCTGCAGGAGAGAGAGGGTGGTGGAGAGGGGAGGGGGCAGGTGAGGGAGGTTGAGGAAGGGGTTGGGAAGCTGCTCCTGCAGGAGGTCAACGAGAGGGAGCGGGGGAATGCCACCTTCTAAGGCGATGCGGGGAAGCTGCTCCTGCTTCTATGGCGGTGAGGGAGCGGTAGTCCGTGTGGGAGAGAGGGCGATGGGGGGAGGGGAGGTGAGGTAAGAAAGGTCAGGAAACAGGATGTGAAAGAGTGTCTCATTTTGACGGAATCATTGGATCCACCACATTGATTTTGATTTTGTCTAACTATTGCTTGTCCCTCCCAGGCTGGCACATACACCCACTCAACCCCCTAACTGACATCTCCTTACCTCCGCACCTTCGCGTTCCAAAGCAGCACACGGCCTCGACTGCCCGTCTCACCTGCCAGCAGCCCATGCAGGCGCACCCTCTCCCCCACCGCCATCATCCCTCACCTCCCAGCAGCACATGAGCCTACCAGCCAGTCTTACCTGCTCTTCAGCCCAGCAATGGCACAGAGCACGGAGACAGCATGCAGGCGCACCCTCTCCCCCACCGCTGTATCCCTCACCACCTGCAGCACCGGCACCAACCCCTCCAACTCCACAACCGCCACCACACCCCCCTCCGCCCTCTCCTCCCTCTCCACTCCCCCCACCCTCCTCACCGCCCCCTCCACACTGCCACCCCCGTTATAATCACCCTCCGGGTCGACCTTGGCCAGTGCAGCGAGGGCAGCAAGGGCGTAGACGCGAACAGTGGGGGTGGAGGGGTGCGCGAGGTGGGGAATGATGCAGGCGATGAGCTTCCTGGTGGGCAGAGGCACGGCAGGGCGAGGGCTCTGAGCCAACCCTCCTATGATCCCCAGCATGTACTCCTCTGTCTCCCCACTCATGCACGCCCTTGCTGCCGCTGCTGCTGCCGCCGCCGCTGCTTCTGCTGCTGACTCATGTGCCTCTGCACTAGTTGAGCTGGTACCAGTGGTGTGGCTGGAGGTGTCAAGGCTGGCGGTGTCAGCGGGGTGCAGAGCGGTGGGAATGGAGAGGGCGGAGAGGAGCAGGGGGACCGCGCCGTGCTTGACCACGCACGCCCGCGTGGCGAGCAGCGATTGGCTGTCCTGAGGGGGGTCCCGGAAGACCATGTTCTTGAAGAGCAGAGCGGCAGACTCTCTCACCTCCACGTCCTGCCAGCAGGGAGCGGATTGGGGAGATGGGGGAGGTGGGGGATAGGAATGGTGGGGGAGAGGACTTTTGAGTCGACTCAAAAGGGTCCCGGAAGACCATGTTCTTGAAGAGCAGGGCGGCTGACTCTCGCACCTCCACGTCCTGCCAGCAGGGAGCGGATTGGGGAGATGGGGGAGGTGGGGGATAGGAATGGTGGGGGAGAGGACTTTTGAGTCGACTCAAAAGGGTCCCGGAAGACCATGTTCTTGACGAGCAGGGCGGCTGACTCTCGCACCTCCACGTCCTGACAATGACAACCAGACACGTAGAGATCGGATTGGTGGGTGGGAGCGGTGGGGGAGGAGTTGCAATCACATAGGAAAAGTGGAAGAGAGTTGAGCAACTGGTTGGTGGAAGAGGAGGTGCGGAAGGGAGGAGGGCTGGTAGTGGAAACATCAAGGCTGCAGCAAACGCTTAAGGAGTCAAAACGAAGTGGAAGCGAGGAGAGCAGGAGATGAGATACAGAGGGCGATACAACGGGAGAACAGGGGTGGGGAGGGGTTGGGGGGGTGGGGGCGGCGGTTGCACCTTGGAGCGCAGCAGAGGCACGAGGAATGACATGGATCCCGAATCGGTGACGTGGCAGCGCACCGAATCACAGCGCGCCAGCTGGCCGAGGGCGAAGACGCAGCGGCTGAGAATCGAGCGGTGTGGCTTCCGCACCTGCAGCAGCAGCGCCTGGTGTGGCGAAGGTGTAAGGGGGCGAGAGAAGAAAGAGTGCAGAGCAGAAATCGCAAGTTAGGGATTGAGAATCTAGCCACGTGGACTAAAGGTGGGGAACACCGCCACTTGTGCGTTTACCGTCACTCGTGTCCCTTGCGTTTACCTGAACAAGAACGTACGTTTTGTATAATAAATGCAAAACGCGCGATTACCTGAAACAAGAACTATCCACATACTACCTGACCGTTCTTGCCACACCCACAAAGCTGGACCTGCTGGCTGCCCACCTGAAGAAGCCCCTGGGAGGCCAGAGCAGTGCGCAGCTCGTCAGAAACAGCCAGGCACACGAGTGACGTGGCGACAGCTGATTGTACGACAGGCGGGCGGCGGGAGGAGAGCGGCTTGAGGGCGGCAGCGAGAGCAGGCTGCCATTTGCCGGCCAGTATGCGTGCTGCGAGGGAGAGCGTGGCGGTGATGGCGCCCGTGTCACAGCCCTGGTGGACAACACATCGCAGGGGAGAAGCAGAGGGAATGAGTGCGCCGGGGAACGAATGCATGAGAGAGCAGCAGCGAGAGCGGGCTGCCATTTGCCGGCCAGTATGTGCGCTGCGAGGGAGGGCGTGGCAGTGATGGCGCCCGTGTCACAGCCCTGGTGGGAGTGTGTGTACAAGGGAAGGGAGGAGCAGGGGTACATGAGAAAGGGGAACGAATGCATGCGAGGGACGGACAGGACTGGGGGGAAGGGCGTGGCGGTGATGGCGCCCGTGTCACATCCCAGCCCTGGTTGTGGGGGAGGAGGATGTACGTGAGTAGACGGATTCGTGCGCAAGGGAGAATCAAGAGCGCAAGTGCAGGGAAACGAATGCATGTGAGTGGCAAACTGACAGCTTCACTTTCCCTGGAGGCACGTGCTCTTGTGGGAGTGCGAGGTGGAAGTGGTAACACTGTTGCTCCATCCATAGTCTGGGTTGGAATGGAGGCATGCAGGCTTATCGATGTCTTATCAAGCCCGAGACAGGCTGAGTCAGCTGCAAAGGCACACGCGTGTATTTGTGTATCCACGAGCACCTATGAGTCTTCAGGAATTTTCACCCCACAATACCTCCACAGCCATACCTACCTACCTCCACCACAGCCTCGGCCGTACCTCCAGGACAGCCTCGGCAGCAGCCTCTTGATCCTCCTCACTGCCATACCACAGAGCCGACACCAGCGCTGCCAACGCCGCCTCCCCCTCCCCCATCGCCTCCTCCACCTCGCCTCCTCCGCCCCTCTCTCCCGCTCTTACACACCCCTCAAAACCCACCGCCCCAACCCCGCAACCAGCACCCCTGCCAACACCATCACCAGCACCCTCACCCTCACCCTCACGAGCATCTCCTCTTCCGGCCCCATCCCCAGTACCTCCCCCTCCTACTCCCTCTCCCCTTACTGCCCCGCCTGGCGCCAATTTCTCTCCTCCCCCTTGCTCTGCTGACAGATGTACCTCCCCCGAGTACGCCCTCCTGGGATTGAACCCTTCATCGCCACTGCTACCCTGCTCCACCTCTCCTGCTGCCCCCTTCCCTCCATCCGTCATCCCGCCCTGCGCCATTCCCCTCACACTGCTCGTGCCTACGCCGTCCCCATGCCGCTGACCCGCCAACTCCATCGCCCCATCCCTCACATCTCCCACACCACCCATATCAGCCACGTCAGCCACGTCATCCCTGCCCCTCTCTTCACGGCTGATTGCACTCGGACCCACCCGTGCCTGCCCATTCTCTCTCAACACCTCTGCTGCACCTGTGCCTCGAAATTCCCCTTTATCCCTCGTCCCTGCTTCACGTGCGTTCTCCTTCCCCCTCTTCCCCGCAGTTCCACACTCCGTCCTCTTCCCCACTCCCCTCCCCTCAATTTCCTTCCGCCTGCCCTCCTCTTTCTCTCCTCTTTCCGCCTTACCCCTCCTCTGCGCCTCCCCTTTTTCCCCCGCCTCCCCCCCCTTGTTCTCCGCCTCTTCCCCTCGCCTCTCCGCCTCGTCCAAATCCTCCTCCAGCACACTCAGCACGCCGCCCGCCACACCCGCATGCCCCACCAGCTCCGCCACATACTGCCGAAGGTCGCTATCCATCCGCGCCAGCAGCGGCCCCACATCGCTCTCTCCCCGCCCCCGACCCCCACGCCCCGGCGTTCTGCTCCCACTAGCTCCTGTCCCACTCATAGCACTGTTTCCACTTGAAGCAGCAGCACCAGAAGCAGCACCAGCAGCAGCGGCAGCGGCGGCAGCGGCAGAGGCAGCTTCAACGGTGAGCAGGAGGCGCTGCATGGTGTTGGCCTGGCGGCGCACGCCCCTCACATGGATGCTCAGGTCCCTCAGCGCGCGCTGCCACTCATGCAGCTCCCCATACCGCTCCGCCACCCCCACCGCGCCCCTCCCCATCCCCTCCTCTCCCTCACTCCCCTCCCCTCTCGCCCACCTGTCACTCCCCCGCGCACCAGCACCATTCATCCCCCCCTCACCTCCTGCCCCACCACACGCAGCGTTCCCCTCGACTGTACCTGCCTCCTGTGCCTCGTTATAAGCAGCCCTGCTAAGAGCGGCGTCGACAGCAGTGACGTGCGCTGCCACCTCCCGGAGGTCGTCGCGGTGGGCGGCGAGCTCCTCTGCCAGTAGCGCCAGCCACGGCTCCTCCACACATGACACTCCTATGGCCCACATGTCCCTCCCCTCCTGCTCGCGTGGGAAGACCGGTAGAGAGAGAGGTGAGAAAGGGAACGAGGAGCATATCTGAAAGAAATGCTCTGAGGCTCTGAGGCTGACGTGGTCCCACCCACCCGGTGGGGTGGGATTGCAAAACGAGGGAGGCATGGAGTTATCAACGGAAGGCACGGTTGACCCCACATGCCGCCCGGCCCACGCCCACCTGCAGCGCCTTCTGGTGATCCGCCATGCGCAGCCGCAGGCTCCTCACCACGTCCCGTGCCAGCTCAGCAGCGCGCCTCCCCAACCGCAAATCCCACGACGCCACCTCATCGCCAGCGCCTTTCATCGCCTCACACGCCTCCAAGATCTCCCGCTCCGCCCTCCCCTCCTTGCCCTCCCTCCCCCTCCCCTTCCCCTCCTCCCCTCTCTCCATTCCCCTCCCCGTCCCTCTCCCCCCCACCCCCCCACTCAGCCATTCTCCCCTCATCCATCCCACGCTCTCCTCCTCTCCGTCTCCCACCCCTCCACCCTCACTAATCGACAATACTCCACTCAGGGAATCCGAACACGTGTCAGCAGCTGATAGGTCTTGCCGCCTGAGCCACTGCTGAATCTCATCCACAGCCCACCGCTGCGTGCCCACCACGCGCCTCTGCTCGCCCAGATCCCTTATAAGCTTCTTCACTACAGTCTCCTCCATCCACCCGCACTTGAAGCACAGAGCTTTCAACACGCCCACCACCACTGCCTCTCTCTCCACCTGCTGTAGCACCCGCACCAACTCCCCTTCCACCTGCTCCCTGCTCCCTTCCCGCAGCACAACCCCCCGTACCTTCTCCCACCCCGCATTACCCCTTCCGCCCATGCTCCTGCCGTCTCCGTTCCTGCTGCTACCCCTGCAGTCACCGCTGCAGGTACCACCACTGCAGTTACCCCGGCAGCTGGCGCCTTGGGAGTGCCGCAGCTGGGAGAGCAGCGAGGAGACGGACGCACGCAGCTGCTGCAGCAGCCGCTGCTGCTCTGTCGCCTGCCCGCATACTGTTGCCAGCTGGGCCTGTCCCTGCTTGCCAGCTGGCACGAACCTCAGCTGCTGGATCTCGGCCTGGATGGCCCGAGCCTGCTTGGCAGCTTCGGGAAGCGTAGAGGCGGCCTGGGCTGCTAGGTCCGCCAGGCAGTCCGCGAGGGAGAGGGAGGCCTGGAGAGAGAGGGGCGGCATGGGGCATGTGGGATGGGAGGGCAGATGAGGAAAGTGAGGTGGGAGCACAGGTGAGGCGTGTGAGAGCACAGGTGAGGCGTGTGAGAGCACAGGTGAGGCGTGTGAGAGCACAGGCGAGGCGTGTGAGAGCACAGGTGAGGCGTGTGAGAGCACGTGCAAGCATGTGAGATTGGGTCCCACGGTGCACAATGACTGGACGTGATAAGCAGATGTCCCGATATAAGCACACCTGTTTGAGTGTGAAGTGCAGGTCGCGATAGAAGCTGGAGACACAGAGGCGACTGGAGCGCCCACAGCGTTGAATCACCGTGCTGAGCCGCCTCAGGCACCTGCCAGCACGACCGCATAAATCCGCGGAATAGGGCATGTATGAATGGTGTGGATACGTAGATGGGGACATGTAGGACCGATGCACGGATGGATCCATGCATGCGTGGATGCACCAACGCAGCAAACCCAGCAGTGGTATTCTCTGCATCCCCGGAGATGTCCCTATCAGGCACCAACGCTGCCAAAGCTCGTTCCGAGGTTTCAGCAAGCGACGGCAGGCGAGCGCACCTCTCGAGGCGCAGCAGGATGGCGTCGATGGCGACCTGCTGTCGACCCATCTGCACCGCCGCCAACCACGGCCGCATGTCCTGCGCGCACCGAGGAGGGGAAGGCGGGGGGAGTGTAGGGACACACAGTTAAACACGGACGCGCCGAGGAAGGGAGGGTATCAACTGACGCTCCTTGACTTTTTCTGAAATTTGCTCGCCTTCGCTGGCGTTCATTGCTTTTCACTGACAGAGGCTATACGCCGAGTGTAACCTTGGTAACGAAATGTTGCACATAATGACCGGCAACAATTCCCTTTGAGTGGTGCGCGACGAGAGGTGCGGCTGAACGACCACCGTGAACGAAACCCAACCCGGCTAGAGGACTGACAAGCAACCTTAAGAAGTGGTCGACGGATCGACGACAGCGCTACACAGATGCGTAACGCAGTGACGACCGAACCATGAGCTGGAAATGCGGTCTGAGAATTGCCGACTAAAATCGTCGTGATCGTCGTGGAATATAAATCTGTACTGCATCTTGATGTAGGAGGTGCCAGGATCAACGGCTGACTATTAGCAGTCGGGGAATCGACGGCTGACCTTGAGCAGTGGGCGGAGGATGCCGAGGCGGTCGCTGAGCAGCAGGCGATTCTCGAGCTGCACCTTGGCAGTAGGAAGTGGTAAGATCGACGGATATAATTCAACACGGTCGGAGGATCGACGGCTAACCTTGAGCAACGGTCGCAGGATACCGAGGCGGTCGCTGAGAAGCAGGCAGTTCTCGAGCTGCACCTTGGCAGCGCGCCCCGCCTCCTCAATCTCCACCACCAGCGCCAGCTGCCGATCCACCGCGTCCTCCGCCATCGCGCGCTGCTGATGCTTGTCCGGTCCAACTTCTGTCGCGCTCGGTTCAGCTGCTGTTGTGCTCGGTTCAGCACCTGGTGTATTAGCTAAGTGCCTATCTACCACCAATAACGGCTATGGGTCTATTCAGTCATTCGCTGATGCCTGGTACAGATCTTGCTCCCGCCAGTGCCTATCACCCCAAAACTTTCTGGTTGAAGAGACCTTTGTCGGTTCTGCGCGTACTTCTGTTCGGTTCAGTGCCTACCTATCACCAGCGTCTATCCAGTCATTCGATATTGCCGGCTACTAGTTTATCCAGTCATTCGCGTTGCTGATTACACGAATTGCTCAATCGCCCTGTCTATTCAATTCACCGATGACTCTGGCCGAGAGCATGCGTCCTACAACATAACTGCTGTAAGCGTTTTTCTTGCAAATAGGTTTCTATTGTCTCTCATTCGTCCTGTAATGGTCCGAAGGCAGGAACCGCCTTGGTCGGGAACATCGTCGTGAACTGTTGGCCTGTCCGGGTCGTACGTCTCGTGTACGATTCAGGCGATGCGGAGTTCCCAAGGTGGGATGGAATGAAAGGCACAGATGAGCCGCCAGCGAACGACCACAGGTCCACCATAGTCAAGCAGGTTGAATGAACATGGCAGAGAGAGCTCTGCGATCTGGTTAAGTGCGTTACAGATCGCTGGTGCCTGATGGAAACCGTGTGCCGAATGAACCCCAGACCGCGGTTTGTGCCAGGTCTGTACTGACAGGTTTTGAATTTCGAAGCGTGGCGGTAAATATGCGACTTGAATATACCCGATATTTCGTACCATTACGGGTTTCGGCTTTTTAAAGTAGTGTTACGGGTGCAATGAATCTAGGTAGCGAGGATTGCACTAAGTGTCAAACGAGTACAAAATGTGAGCGAAGGCATGAGCGAACATTTATACGTGAAACATGCAAACGGTAACGCGGTGCGTGCGAGCTAGCTAGTGCTAGGCTGGCATCGAGGCTCGGGCTAGTCCCGAAGCGTAGGCCGACACGGCCGGGCCAGCGGTGAATGGTTTGGTGAAACATAGCGCGAGAAGTCGGCGAAGCCCCGATAGCAGTAACGGGCGAACAACGGCTGCTGCTGTACGCGATGTTGCAGGATGCGCTAAGGAATGTCAAGAAAATTCCTTGCACTACCCCACCCCCCCCCTCAAGAAGCCCCCTCCGCTACGCGAATGCGTGTATATCGCGGAAAACCCTGGCTCCTCATGTACACTTGCAGGGTAGGGTGGTTTTCGATGTTGGCCAGGGGCACCCAGCTATCCTCAGTTGGCGTGCAGTCCTTCCAGCGAACCAAGAATTCAATCCTCCTGATTCCCGTGGGGTGTCGAATTCGATGGCTCATGATTTTTTATGGCTCGATGATCGGCTCCGATGCAGGGCGAGTCATGGATGGTGGGCGATGACGAGGCAGTTGGCTCGTGGTTGGGATGTAGGGGCGAAGCAGGCTGACGTGGAATGATGGGCTGATGTACCAGTCTGTCGGCAATAGTAAGTGTGCTGTCACTGGGGTAATCATGTGGCTGATTTGAAATGGTCCACAGTAGCGCGGTCGTAATTCTAGTACGACGGGCAGTCTTACGGTAAGTTATGTGTGTCGAGCAGTACTTAATCTCCTGACTGGTACGTGACTGGACGGCGGTGGCGGTCAGCGTTGCGCTTAGCGATGACATTTTTTTTTTAAACTGCTTCGGCGGCTCTGGTGCAGGCAGCTTGCAGAATCTCGGCGAATTGTTGTGCGCGTGGCGTTGGGTTGTCCGGACTCAGCGTCATGGGCATTGTAGGGTTTTGCCCGTACTTCAGGTAGAACGGGGACTGCTGCGTCGTTGCTGATGTGGCGTTGTTGTACCCGAACTCAATCAGCAGCAGCTGCTGCTCCCAAGTTGTCGGATCGTCGCACGTGGCACGAATCAGCTGCACCATCGTCTGGTTCGTCCGCTCCGTTTGACCGTCGGTCTCGGGGTGGTACGACAAGCTGAACTGTAGCCTGGTCCCGAACTGCTCCCAAAGGTTCTTCCAGAAGTTGCTGGTGAAGTTCATGTCGCGTTCGCTGATTATCGCGGCTGGTATCCCATGGAGTCGAACGACGGCTGCGATGAACAGGAGAGCGGTTTCTTCGGCTGAGATCGATTTCTTGCATGCAGCGAAGTATGCCATCTTCATCAACTTGTCAACGACGACCATAAATGAGTCGTTACCCCTAGGATTCGAAGGTAACCCTGTGACGAAATCCATGGTAACCTGTTGCCAGGAGCGCTCAGGTGGTGGAATCGGCTGCAACTGCCCGCCTTTCTTTTTCGCGAGCTCTTTATCACCTGACACGTAGGACACGAGCCCACGTGGTGCTGCACGTTGGTCAACAGCTCCGGCCAGTAGTAATACCGCTGCAGTTGCTGTCGCGTTTTTTCTACCCCAAAATGTCCCGAGGTAATTCCGTCGTGTGCCTCCTGCAGTAGCAGTTCCCTCAGTAGTGAGTACGCGAGTACCCAAATGCGGTTGGTGCTTGTTTTTACGTAACAGACTCCTTTTGCTTCTGCCAGTTGCTGTGAATTTCCGGTCGCGAAAAATGGGTCGGTACTGTGAAGAAATGAGGAATGAACGAACTATCAAGCAGGTGGGTACAAGTAGGAAAACCTGGAAATGTTGTACCCCATATAGTCTACCCCACTACAGCCTACACAGACTATAGCATATAAATTTGACACACCCCCATAGGCAAAGTGGGGGAGAACAAGAGGTCACAAGACCAGTCAAGCAAAGCAAAGCAAGCTCAGGGTGGATCACAACGTCACCACACAATCCGAGCACAAGAGCAAGGCCAAAAGGCCAGTTCACATGCAAGATCATATATAAAGGTAAACAAGCAAGTGCAGGTATAGAAAGATCACAGTACAAGCAAGGTCAAGAAGTGAGCAAGTGAGGCCAAGTAGGCACAAGACCTAGCATAGTACAGAAGCGCTGATGATCACCAGGCGGAAGTGCCTTGGTAAAGATATCAGCAGTGTTGGCCTCAGAGACCACGTAAGCAAGGCGCAGCTGACCACGCTGGTGCAGCTCACGAACAAGGAAGTAGCGGAGAGCAATGTGCTTCGTTCTGTGCTCCAGTCTGTGCTCCCGACACAAGGTCAGCATGGCCTTGTTGTCTACGTACAGAATTGGAGGAGAACGAGGCGGCTCTCCGAGGTCAGTCAGCAGATAGGTGAGCCAGGGTAGCTCCTGTGCAGCCATGGCCCCCGCGTAGATCTCAGCCTCACAACTGGAGCCGAGAACAGAAGACGAGCGGGTAGACCGCCACGAAACAGAGCCGGAGCCAAGGCTGAAGGTGTAAACCTGTGACGACCGCTGCGTAGCCTGGTCGTCAACCCAAGAAGCGTCTGCGTGACCTATGAGGACCACTGGACGTCTAAGAAGAAACGAGAATGAATGCAGTATGAATGAGTTGGGTACAAGTACTAACCCTAATTGGGTTGTACCCCATATGGGCTACCCCACTACAGCCTACACAAAAGCATAAGCTATAATGTTCTGACAACGTCGCCCTCCAAGCACTAGCCCCATGCCCGACGTACTGCACAAGTAGCGCAACACCCTCTTCGCTGCACCCATGTGCTCTGGTCGGTGTCTCCCAGGAGCAACATAGCGTGCCAAGATGCTAAGAGGGTATGCAAGGTCAGGTCGAGTGCAGGTCATCAGGTACATGAGGCAGCCAACAAGCTCTGGGTACGGGCCACTCGGCTCTACGGACTCATCCGAAGGCAGAGCTGAGAGCGAGTGGCGAGTAGACAGAGGAGTGGCCTGAGGCGAGGAGTACGTGAAGTCGAAGCACTGAAGGACCTGCTGCACCATGTGTGACTGAGTCAGGGTAATGGTGCGCTGTGCTCTGTCCCGGGTGATCTGCAAGCCAAGGTAGCTGCGCAGTTCACCCAGGTCTGTGCACGTGTGTCTCTTCTGCAGCTCGGACTTCACGTGGGCGAGTCCAGCAGTGTCAGCAATGGCAAAGACCAAGTCGTCAACGTACACGAAGATGTAGAACGGCGGCAAAGAGGTGTCGGTGCACAGAAACAGCGACGAGTCGGCTATAGAAGGAGCAAACCCAAGAGCCGCAAGTGTAGTCCTCAGTGTGTCGTGCCACTCACGGGGCGCCTGGCGGAGACCGTAGACTGGCTGTGAGAGTACGACGGCTTATGCCAGCTATGCTTGCTTGCCTTTACTTTATCATGCTATTTCTAGCATAGGATATTTGTATGCATGCATGAATTGCTTGATTTCCTAGGCTAGGTGCTTTCCTATATTTTATTATAGTTATAGCACCGAGCTAGGTTGCGTGCACCGAATTCTGGCTTTTCGGCGGCCACCGAATTGCCTTCTACCGAATTCGGGAAGGATCTGTTTGGGACGCTACGCGACCCGCGGAACCTTCGCGTAACACCTGGTTACGGGGCCTTGTGTCGAGCCTATATATAGCCTCGTGTTGTACCCAGGTTATCATTCAATTCAATTCAATTACAATTCTCTTTTCTGAGCTCGATCCTAGAGCCTCACACTTGGTAATCAGAGCCTGTTTGCAAGCGAAGTTTCTCGACCGCTTAAACCTAGCTTTTAAAGCCGCGGGGGCGACGACGGAAAGCGCCGATTTCGGGTACGTAAACCAGTTCCGCGCTATTTTCAAACGTCCCCCTCGAACCGGTTTTCGAACACTCCTTAGGTCCAGTGGCGAAAAAGTTGGAATTTCGACCGTCGGATCGATTCGAATCTCAACGGCCTCGAGAATTTCGCCCAAACAAGTTGAAAGTTGGAGCGTCGTATCTAATTTCTTCTCAACGGCCGAGATCAGACGCGAATTTCGTCTAAGGGAGAATCACGCGACCTACAGAATCAGCCCTCGTCATTTCTGCAGTCAACTCGACTCACAGTAAGATCCCCAGCGTCTAGAATTCATGTATTTTTGTCGCAAATCTTCCTATAAATTG